TTATATAAGGGACTAGAAGAGTCAAATTTATACAGACCTAAAGTAGAATAGTGGTTACCAGGGTCAATGGGGGATAGGAGAATGGGAAGTTATTATTTAATGAGTACAAAGTTTCAGTTTGAAATGATGAAAAATTGTTGGAAATAGTGGTGATGATTCCACAACAATATGAATGTACTTAATGCTACTGAATTGCACACTCAAAAATGATTAAAATTTAGATATTGCATTTTGTGTATTTTTCCACAATAAAAAAACATAGACCATTTTAAAGTGAACAATTCAGTGGTATTTAGAACTTTCACAATGTTATGGAACCACCTCTATTTAGTTCTAAGACATTTCTATCAGACCAAAGTAAAAACTACTTATTCACTAAGTACTTTGCCTTCCTTTATCTACCCAGTACCTGGCAATCACTGATTTGTGTTATATCCTGTGTTGGTCTTCTGAGACTGCCAGAACAAAATACCACAGATTTGGTGACTTAACGGAAATTAATTTCTCACAGTTCTCAAGGTTAGAATTCCAAAATCAAGTTGTGAGTGGGTGTGGTTTCTCTTGAGTCCTCTTCCCTTGGTTTGCAGATGGCTTTCTTCTTGTTGTATCCTCATATGGCCCTTTTCTTATGAGCAAACACTCGTGGTGTCTCTTCCTTTTATTATGAGGACACTTATTTTATTGGGGTCCCACCCTTAAGACTTTATTTAACCTTATTTACCTCCTTAAAGATGATATCTCTACTTACATTGGGGGTTAAAGTTTCAACTTATGAATTTTGGGGAGACACAATTCAGTACATAACATTCCACCCTCTGGCACCCCAATACTCATGTCCTTCTCATATGCAAAATGTAAAATTTATCCTGTCCCAACAAGCCCCAAAGTCTTATTCCAGCATCAACTCCAAGTCCAAAGTCTCATCTGAATATCTGAATTAAGTCTAGGTGAGACCAGATGTATGATTCATCCTGAGGCAAAACTCCTATTTAGCTATGAATCTGTGAAACTATTCATGTGCTTCCAAATACAATGGTGGAATAGGCATATAATAGAAATTCTCCTTTCAAAAGGGAGAATTCCATTATCATGAAACTTTTCCCCATGTTTTATTTTAAGAGTTATGGTTTTAGCTCCTAGGTTTAGGTTTTTGATCCATTTTGAGACATTTTTTTTGTATATGGTGTAAGTTAAGGGTCAAACTTCAATATTTTGCATATGCAGTTTTCCTAGCACTACTTTTTGAAAAGTATGTCCTTTTCCCATTGAATGACCTTGGCACCCTTGTTGGAAATCATTTGACCATGCATGTGTGGGTTTATTTCTGAGATGTCTATTTTATTGCATTGGCCTATATGTCTGACATTATGTCCATACAACACTATTTTGATTATTGTAGCTTTGATAAGAGTTGCACTGCAATGAATGGATTCTTCTATAGGGCTTCCAGTGGGAGCATCACCCTGCCCACACATTAATTTCTGACTTCAGTCTCCAGACCTGCGAGAGAATAAATTTATATTGTGGTAGTTTTTATTAAAGCAGTCATAGGAAACCAATACTAATAGTGAATGACAGACTTTGTGGAAAATTAATATTTATGCCTGTTTTCACTTTCCCATCCTTTCCCTGAGACAAGCAGATGAACACCCCTTAGATATGGGATAAATTCAAAGTGGCTAGGATGGACTCTCACAAGCAAGGTTTGAAATTGGTAAGAGGAATGAAATTTTTATTCATTTTATTGTTTATATGTTACCTGCATTGGAATGAGAGAAAAGCATTACATAGTCTTCAGTTGAGGAAATGTAGCTTTTTAAGACATGTGAACCCTCCCTTTGAACTTTTATTTACAGTCTTGATTTATTTTGCAGAAAATTTAATATTTTTTACATAGTAAATATGAATCTTTCCCTTTATGGTTTCATCTTTTATTTCTCTAAAGCTCAGACAGACTTTCTCCTCTATACTCTTGTCCCTGAATTCAGATTAACATATATTTATATTCTCTTTTACTTTATTGATTTGTCCTTAATATACTTGAGATAAAGGGGCACCTGGATGGCTCAGTCAGTTAAGCATTCGACTCTTGATTTTGGCTCAGGTCATGATTTCACAGTTGGTGAGTTCAAGCCCTGAGTCAAGCCTAGCATCAGTCTCTGCGCTGATAGCGCTTGGTATTCTCTCAAAATAAATAAACTTTAAAATGTGTGTGTGTGTGTGTGTGTGTGTGTGTGTGTGTGTGATAAAAATGTGCGCACAGGTAACTCTAAAATTTTAGTGTGCTTCAGAGTCACCCGGGAGTTTAACGTTGCAGTTACATAAGCACCATTACCAAAGAGTGGTCTTGGGTGAAGGGTCAGGATACTGTATTTTAAACAAGCTCCCCATGTAATACTGAAATATTTGCTAGACTAGAAAACCTTGGGGAATACTAATATATACTATTTAAAAGGATCTCATGTGTTGATTTGGGGATACAATTCCTCCTCTTTGATATGTATTTCACAAGATATATATTCTAGATAAATAAAATGAGTTGCTTAGGGTCACACAGTCAATCAGGGGTAGTGCAGAGAAAATTAATCAGAGATACTTTAGTCACAAATTATACTCAGTTGTTCTAAACTCTACATGTACATCAGAATCACTGTGAGAGATTTTTAATTTTTTTAAGTTTATTTATTTTGAGAGAGAGAGCGCACAAGTGCAAGCAAGGGAGGGGCAATGAGAAGTTACTTGCCCATAAATAATCCCAAGCAGGCTCCTCATCTGTCAGTGCAGAGCCCAATGCGGGGCTCAAACCCACGAACCGTGAGATTATGACCTAAGCCAAAATCAAGATTTGGATGCTTAACCACTGAGCCACCCAGGTGCCCCTCACTGTGAGAGTTGTTTCAATGTAATGATCCCTTGGTCTCATTTCCAATGAGTCTGATTCAATTGGTTGGGAGTGGGTCCTGAGCTCCACTCTAAAATCTCAGGTAATTCAAACCTGCAAAGGTTGAGAACCTATGCATTAATGATAACAACATAAAAATAAGACAGTTATCTCTTTAAAAAGGGCACGGTCTAATAGGAAAATAAAATCTGATGTATATAGTTTAAGGCACTTAAAAAGTGCTTTCATATATACATAATGAGGAGTGCCCAAACTTGAACTAAAGCTGGGGCATCTCCACTTTAATTTATGTAAGTCCAGAGATGTCTGATGAACTTGGAGTAAAACCTAGTTTCCAGAATTTTTTTTTGTCAGTTCCTCAGGTGATTATGATGCAGTTGGTCTGTATAGCACATGTTGATAAACATTGGCAAATGTAACATTATGGTAAGTCCCTGTGTTGATATTGTTGCTTAATGCTTTCTCTGTTGTGTTCCTTTTTCAATTGCAAGCTACAGCCTGTAGAGAAATAAAGTTACTTGCCCATAATCAGAGGCAAACCTGAGCCCACATTGCAGGACTCTCAATTCAGCTATAATTAACTGTTGTACCCTTCAACTTACCATTCCCTATGGTAGGCACTGAGGGTACAAGTACCAATAGGACAATATATTTACTGTGAGAAGGGTACAGTCTACTTGGGGACCAGTAGTGATGGAAAATTCTCTAAACAAATCGTTGATTTACCAGGTATTTAGTCTCAGCCAGTTTCCCATTGTTATGTGATTATAGGTTTATCGGGCACAGCAAAAATCAAAGCAAGGGAAGAGGGAAATTCCTCTGGATCCATGTAGGTTAGTGTGAGTACAGACTACTCGGTATTCTGGGGTTAGGTTGGCATAAAACCACCTTCACACCTGTGTATGTGCAGAGTGAGACCTATAGCAGTGTCTGCACAGAAAATGGAGAGTCAAGGAAATGGGCCATATGCATCAGAGGATGGAAATGATAGTCCAATTTTAGGCACACTAAATAGGCACTAAATTAGGCACAATAAATCTAGTGTCACTCAGATTTATCTAGGGGAAAGGGATAATGAGGAAAGTCTGAGAAAAACCATAAAGGGCTATTTGGATCCCTAAGCAGAACTAGGGAAGTATCCACCTGGACTAAGTATAACTACAAAGCAGAAAGTGACATTCTCCATATTTCTGACAGGGCAAAATGGAAATTCAGACCATTGAAGGTTCAAGAGAAATCAGTGGGTCTTTGTCATCTTTAGGATTCTAGCACATCAGCAGTGGTAGGGACCAGTGGAGGGAGCAAAACCTAGCAGAAGGGGAAGGAATACTTAGCAGTCATGGCATTATCCAGGGAAAAGGGGCACAGAAGCATATAGAAAGGTTACCCACTTGGCATTAAATTATACTCCAGGGTAGGCATACTTCTCGGGCTCTTCTCTAAATATGAAGGGCACTTAAAGTGTCAGAACCTTGCATGTATGGGTAGAGCCAGCCACAGAGGTTCTTTATTACCTCATGTTCTTTATTACCTCATTTGATTCCCACACTAGTCCTGGAAGGCATATATTATTTTCATTTTATAGATTAATAGTTTGACTGTAAAGAAATGTAGCTGTAATGATTACTAGGTTTGTGCTTCTAAATAAGAGATCTTATAAGAGGTAAGACAAGATTTATGTCTTTAAATGTTTCTCAAATATTTGTTGATTGTCTCCATTCCCTTTATAATCCAATTGGCAAGTTCTTTGCCTCTTACTTTTTTCTAACATATATAATACATATGTATTCATTTTGGAAAAATAAGAAAAAACAAGTAATCAAGAAAAAATTAAAGAAAATAAGAAAACTATATATGTATATAATATGCACACTTTTAAATGAGATAGTATATCTATAGATTGCTTTTTAACTGCTTTATTACCTTCACAGTATGTAATAAACATCTTTTCATGCAAGTTGATGAAACTCCCCTGCTGACAGAAAAACTTGCAGACTAAGTCAAAATGAAATATCTAATCAGAAAAATGACAGAACATCACAGGTTCACAGTAAAGGGTACATCAAGAAAATACAACTTTGGGAAGCAGGGGGGTTATTATTATTAACCTTAGCATTCAAGGCATAAGGCAAAACTCATCATGATGGTCATGGTGAGGGGGATCTCCTATAAGTATGCGCAAACTGTACCTCAGCTGAAGTTCCCTAATTTTCCTCCTTAATTCTCTCATCTCCTCCATGAACCGTTCCATATCATCTGCATCTCCGTCTATCATTTGAAGGTTATAGACAAGCCTATTGGGCATGTCCTCTCTACCATCGTGGGCAGGTGGGGCCCAACCCGCTCTAATATTTCCTCTAGGCTCCTGGCCTTCTCCACCTCCCAAAGGGTGGGCTTCTTCTTCATTCTGCACTGGAGCCTGATCTTCTCCTTTGCTTTCCTGGGGGACACTTTCCATGTTGAGATTTTTTTTCTTGCTTACTTTTCCTAGGGGATAAGAAGCAAGAAGGATGGAATGCGTTATAACAACAGAATTCAGAGCTGTCAGAAAAGGTTTTCCCATCTGAGAGATTTCGTGCGCCCTCTAGGGGACGCTCCAGACCCAGCCCTGCTACAAAGCCCACCATTTTCCCCATAAATTCTTCCTTAGGCCCGTGCTCACACATCCTGCACTTAACTAGGGCAGGAAAGGCAGTGAATCCCCCAGGTTCTGTCCTGATCCCTGGTAATCCTACACCAAAGGGCCCCAGGCAGCCCCCTACCTGCAGGGATCAAAAGCCGTCTTCCTCTTTTAGCCTTGAAATCTGCTGCGCCAAGGAACCTGAAGACCTTCAGACAGAAATGCGACAATGGCCAGGACTGATTAGTTGATCAATATCAGAGGCACCAGCTTTGTTGTTGATTTAGGACTCCGCTAATCAAATGTTGCCACTTCCTCTTTCTCCTCCAGATCACGACTTCATTTTCTGACCTGTGATGTGCTCCATAAATAGGCATTGTAACCAAAGATGATTATTCCAAACCAGTTTCCTCTCTTCTTTAGGCCCCTTCC